TAAATGGTCAAAAAAAGCAACACTGAGCGGGGCAGCTTATGTAAAATTGATATATCGGAAATATCATCTATACATCAAATCAGAAAGTCAACAATATTATTTATTTACACGCGAATCGCGATACGTTAAATATTAGCATTAGGCAACCAAATTTAACACGGATGTATTTTGTACGGGTAACGAAGTGCACGGGAATGGCTATAGTATATCTATAAGTATGATGGTAGTTGCGATCACGTCACAATTTAAGACGACGACCGCCAATCAAATAATTGATGACAAATTTTATATATAGGTTTTAATAATTTTCGATATGTATAAAATAAAGTATTTATCAAGCTTTTTTTTGGTCAAAAGGGAAAGGGTACGTTTTTGGTTGAAAACGTTAGAGTTAAAATTAAGTTTTAAAAAAAATTAAATAATAAAAGTTTTGAAATAACTTAATACTACACTGCTATCTTTTTTATAAACTATAAACTACCTATATCGGCTATACCTATTAGGCAACAAGTCGATTTTCATTCAATTTTAAGTATGATTAATATGATGTTACCCAGTGTCGGCCTGGCCAAGGCAGCTAGGCAGCAATCGCTGCCTGGGTCCTCGTCTTTTTTTTTATTTATTTAAAATGACAAATATACAATCTATATGTATAATGTATTACATTAATTTAATTTAATTATAATAAATACATTTTTTAGTATAGGAATGGGGCGCTTCAAAATAGAATCCTACCTGGGCTCTTTAGAACCAGGCCGACACTGATGTTACCATTTTTTAAAATTTTAAAAATGAAATTGTGTAAATATTTATTTTTTTTTTTTTGTAAAACGTAAATGAGATATTCTAATTGCTAAAAAATCTTATTATTTATTAAATATATTATTAGTTTACCACAAAGGTACTTAAGGTGATACAGAACGTATAAGTTACTATATATACCTACCTTATACCTATTATACAAAATTAAAAATTAAATAATTATAAATTGCAAAATATAGGTATGCCTCTTTCATTGTTGATTTAACTTGAAAACATTATTATTATTATTTAAATACTTAAGAGTATCAAAATAATCATTTTCTTAAATTAATGGAAACTTAATTTGATTAATTATCATTTATTATGTTTTAAGGATCTGTTGGATTTCATCATGATTATCATAAATCAATGTATATTATAAGAAAAGAAAAATATTACCCAAGTAAGTATTATTTTCAATCATGTATTTTTTAATATAACTTACATGTTTATTATATCGAATATGAAATAATACATATCCTTGGATCTAGATATAAAAATATTTATAATTATTTAAAAAATGTTTTAAGTCACTAATAGGTATTTTATCTATGCTATTATAAAGTATAAACAATAAGAAAATTAAAAAAAAATATACTACAAAGTAATTCAAAATTGTCTAGATTTATTTTACGATCTATAGGTTGACTTTTTAAACAAATACCACGATACCACGTGGAATCACATTATGTCCCAGTGCACCAAAATTGGAATGAAAAATTATTTTCTAAAAATTGCTATGATTCCTCACATGTATCAATAGGTATATGTATTTTATCAGTTTTATCAATGTGCATAAAATTATGTCCATAGTCTTTACTATATAACTTAATGAGATATAATTTATTAGAATTTCACAATTTATTAATAATAATAAAATTGTATGTTTTCTGTTGTCAATAGTATTTTTACAGGATTTTTTTGGAGAGAATGTTTTTTTATTATTTGTTCAAAATACATTTTTACTAAACACCTATAAATATATTTTCGTAGTATATTAATACATAGATTATAGTTACAATTTAACATTCATAAATATTTAATTAGTATGTGTATATAATGTAAAGTATATATACATATATTTATGTAAAATAATAAACGTAAAAACTTTAAATTCTTGTTTATAGTGTTTTTAAATTATAAAAATAATTAACAACGTTATAATCAATGAGCATATTTAGGAGAATAAAATAATATTATTTGAATTCCATAACTTTTCCAACATACAATACACATAAATAATTTAAAATACTTTTTGAAAGACTTGTAAAACGTATTTTTAACAAGAAATATGTTTAATATATTATCTATGAGCTATGACTATTGTTTTTGGGGAGAATATTTTAGTGTATAGGTCAGATGGAGACAATATTTATATAAATCTTTAGACCTTAGGTTAATAACATTATTATGAATGTAAATTTAATAATATTAAAAAAAATTTTGTTTTTTTATTTTTATTTTAGATAATTTCGATATTGATATGGATATTCACGAAGTACGTTTTAAACTACTTAATAACGTTAAGATAAAATTATTAGACAAAATTATCATGTTATTTTCTTTAATATGTAGAAGTTTACATACACAACGATTTAGTTTTGTAATTGTTAGAATACTTAGAATTTATCACTAAACATACGTTTCATATAACATAAATATTATTTTTTTAGTTCATAAATTTTGTTTCAAAATATTTATTAAATCATTTAAATATAATTTTAATATAGTATAACATAAATCTGATGCTTTATAGCGACAATATAACTAAATATTTTTTAATATTTTTTTGTTACCATTTTTTATTAATGATGAATTATTAAATTTAAATAAAACTAAATATATTCTGGAAATCTCAGGATTAGAAGTTATTTTAAATATGAAGTATTCAAAACAATATCTTTAGATTTAATGGTGCTTAACTCATACATATGCTGAACTCAATTAACTTTGAGTAACAATTATAAATTGTAAAAACTGAGTAAATTCATGTGATCTAATTATTAACCCGAAAAAAAATAATTTGACTTAGGTATACCTTAATAACTATTGGATAGGTTCAATCAAAAGATTTTTTATATTATTGTTACTGAACAATTTTCTTTTATAATTTGTACGATATGCGTAGGATCTATAGTAATAAAAACAGATATTCATGGTATATTATAATGTATAATATAAGTTAAGTAGGTATACGTAGATGATTCATTTGATGTAGACGCGGAAATTCGTAGGTGTATCGTGTATAATATTATATTTAACAACAATAACTAATAGAAATCTCAAATTAATATGTCGGCTGTTAAATAAAATAAAAAAAAAGTTAGTGGTTTTCAAAAAGTATAATATGGAATTTATTTATTTCAGGAGAATTTTACACCCGAATTTGAATATTTACAACCTATGTTATAGACGGAGTATCAACTAAGAACATTACATTTTAGTAATAACCAAGTTTAATTTATACCTATTCAATATTAAAAACGTGTTTTAATATTTGTAAGCTTTAATCTAAAGAGTTTGATTTTTGAAAAATAAATATATCATAGAATTTATCATAAATAATAATATATTCATATTTTATTAATTTATAAGCTAATACACACCACTAAAAAATACTAAGCTATTTGAGGATAAAACTCAATTAAAATTAAAATATATACTTACAATTTACATAATCGGTTTTTCGTGTCCATTTACAATACGTCTTACTATAATGAAGTACGCTCCAATATTGAATTATTTGAACTACCTACATATGTTTGATGGTAATCTCAGAGGTATCATTAAACCATTTTATAATTATCTATTATAATGTCATAAAAGAAAATTTCTACCAGGATTGGTTAATTTAATTTTACACACATGAAAAGAACATTTGTATATAATAGGTATAAAATAAAATATAAAATCAAAGACGGGAATGAGATAGTGTAAAGAATTAAGTAGAATACCTATGCAATTATGAATGTATGATAGAAAGATATGTTATTATTGTTATGAAAAAACCATTATGAACACCAAACATTATAAGTTATTATATAATAAAGTATATTACACCCCATATCCGTAAATTATGGTACCTAGTATAAAATTATGTTAAAATTTTAAATTTTGAGCGCAGCGATAAATACCTATGTTGATTTCACAATAATGGTGTTTTTTGCTGTCTATCATTACTTTTTGGGACAGTTAAAATTCTTTGATTTTAAAAAATGGGGGTGGTTTCTCAGTTTCTGGTAGTAAATTATACTTATATCAATGAGAAAAAAACCAAGTGGATGATTTACCTCCCTTAAATACACCTATGGTTATATTACTATAAATCAATATGTAAAAGTAAACATTTTATGAAATTAAAATCTACCTGATTTAATTATTTTAATTTAAAATTACGCAATATCTGAATAATATGCATATCTATGGTATTAATTAAGTACGTACAAACAGTGGCGGATCTAGGATTTTTTTATGGTGGGTGCTATTTTGTTAATAATAATAGTCCTAAATTACTTATTATGTATAATTTGTGCGTGGTCGCCGACCGGTGTTTGCTACTTCACGGTGCGGGGCGCGCGTTCCGATAGCCCGTATCAAAAATTTGCCAAGGTGGGTGCTTCAGCTCCCAAGTACCCCCCCCCTCTAAATCCGCCACTGTGTACAAACGTACAAGTTGAAAACCTGAATATTAGATACGTCTTGCTGTGTCCTATGTATAATATCGATCCTATCATCGTTGATAAATCTATGAAATACCTACGTAAGTTCCAACAATTGTTTTTTAATTTTAAAATTTGTTTAAGGTCAAAAAAATTATAATATATATATATTATATTTACATTTCGGAAAAAAATAAGAGATTCTACATTTCTATCGACACAGTGCGATTAAACCGCTTAAAAATATATTATTATTACAGCTGTTTATAGGTACCTTTGTAGCTTTGTAAATTTGTAATACGTCACGACTCACGAACTGAAAATATGCAAAGATCTTGTTTAATCGTAAATTTCCGACTCCATACAACATTAAAGTATGCAAAATGCAATACTACTGTGCATATTTATGGCCGTAAGTTTGTAACCGAGGTTTAAATCCATATCGTGGTAAACGAGATATTATGGCCGAGTAAGCTTAACAGCGGTCACGACGATGATGTTGATAATATTATTATTGTTATCTACAAAGTATAGAAAAATATCGCGTCTTGTCTGTGGTCAGTACTCTATATATGTTTTGTAGTCCGTCTGTTTACGTCTGACGCGCTGCTTAATGGTTATTAATTATTGGAGTTTGGGCCCTGACCAGATACGGTCACTACTACTCATTACGCACACGGTACACACTACACACATATATAAAAACATTTACATAATATCATATTAATATCTGCGCATTTTATTTATAAACCGTTGAATGGTTCTTGAAAAAAATTCTTTGACCCAAATATTCGACGTGCTCATGAATGTATAGCAGGAGTAGAGTGTTGCGTTTATTCAGTGACATTTTACGGTTAAGAAACAATATCGGTATAATTAGGACGAGGACCATGAGTCAAGGCGAATCGGTGGACTACAAGGCAGACTTAAAAAAACGTTTATCACCCATTCAATACCATGTTACTCAAGAAAAAGGAACAGAGAGGTGATTATTGAATTATAAATACTCGTAGAAATCAATAGAAATCAATAATTCTGTTACACAGAGCTTTTACTGGCAAGTTTAATAAGACTACGGAGGCTGGTTTGTATACTTGTGTAGTATGCAACGAACCATTATTCACTTCGGAAACAAAATTCGATTCTGGCTGTGGTTGGCCAGCTTTCAATGACGTTATTGACCAGAAAAAAGTCAAATTAACGACTGATACTTCAAATGGTATGTTCAAACAGTTTTGCTAGTGGTCACGGTTTTTGGTAGATTATTTTCTTTTTTTTTTTTGTGTATGTGTATCTGTCGAGGGATTGGAAACGCTACTTAGTTAACGCTTATATTTCATTAATTATTGCTTGTTGGTTGAATCTTTACAATAGAATATGATATTTAAATAATGATTTGCTAAAGCTTTTAAATATTGCTCAACATAAAAATATTTTCAAATAAAAATTCAATAACATTAAAAAAAATTCAATCTACTGTGATGTTGGTTATGTATTTGATAACTAACATTTTTAATGATAGTTATTTGAGTTGGTAGATATTTACTAAAATGTTTCAACATAATATATCTTTACTGAGAGTAGCCAAAATACACATAAGACAATGATTAATCAACAATTTATTTTTTTAAACCGTTATCAACTTAATTTTCAGTGGTAATTAAGTTTACTTTGTTCATATTTGTTTAGCAATATTTAATTTTTGTATCAATGAAAATCTTTAGCAAATAGTGTTTGAAAATTGTGTTTTCTTAGATTACTTTTATTAAAAAATGATCTCTAATATTCCCTTGTTTTGAGATATTATCTATTAACTGTCTTCATTAAATTAATAGCATTTCATAAAATGAAATTAATCAAATAATAATGTAATACATTGAATTTATTCATTGTTATAAATTTCTTGCACTGATTATTATGACAAGTAATAACTAATGCACATTATTAACTATGACACCACTTTAAAGTTATACATAATTATAATATACAATTTTTTTCGTATATTAAGTACATTAGATTATGGTAAAGCTTTGTAATACTCAAGTACAGAAGTTTCCATAATATTTAAATAAATATAAAATAATTTATATGGTGTTGGTGGCGTTTCCTTCCATTCCTCGACTATACAAAACAATGCTGTCGCTTTGACGGTGATGGATACAGTTGGAGCAAATTTGCTGTTATTGATAACCAATCCAGGTATGATAAGAACTGAAGTGCAGTGTGGGAAATGTGATGCACATCTAGGACATGTTTTTAAAGACGGCCCACCACCAACAGGACGAAGATTTTGTATTAATAGTGCTTCAATGAATTTTCATCCAATAAATCCAGAAAAATAATAACTATTACATGGTAATTGATTATTATAATTAAGTTTGGTCAATGTTAAATTTTAATATAAATATTTTTATTTTTCCAGAAATATTGGTGTAATATATTGTTTGCAGAGTTACTTACTACATATTTATTAACACAAAATGGATTTTAGTCAACATAAACATGTTAATATTTATTTGTGGAAGTTTTCATAATAAACTAATATTTTATCGTGTCAATGATAATTCAACTATTAATTATCACCTAATAAGAAAATATTGTGATTTAATGTAAAATAATTAATATTTATTTGGAATTGGATAATAAATGTGTTTTTAAACAAAATGTTGTTCTATTTTTCATTGCAAAATAAAATAATATTAATATTGATAAAAAAAAAGACAAAACTTCTTGGGAATTTTTGTACAATATTCTAAATTAAAAAGATACTAAAATGGAATGTATTTCAAATGTTACACGTGCTAAAAAAAAGTATGAATATATATATATATAAATAAATATATTATATATAATATATCACACACCCAAGAACAAAGAAACATTTTAGAGATCTTATAAGTATTAAATTAATATTTAAAATAAAAGCAACTTCAATACTTAAAAAATAAAAAATAACCCTAAAGACAAACTTGTTTTGTATTATTTACACAAAAATTATAAAAAAAAAAATTACTAAATAATATATATATATAGTGTATATTATAGGTAGAAATATATATTTAAATATTGCCTTTTTATTTATTAATAATGAAAGTTATAACCAGATTATTATTCTGTAATTAACAGTACAATGTAATTATTTAAGTTGGAATATATTGTAAATAGATTTATATTTATTTTTTAAAAAGTTTTGATACTACATTAAGAAATTTATTCTGTGGTTATTTATGAAAGGTGGAAGGAATGTTGTCCTTCAGATGCAGCCAGTTGCAGTTTCTTTCTCATTAAATCTATGCTTGAGTAATCTGGAAGTTTAAGGTAGTTAACACATGTCATTACAGATGGTAAATAATCATCTGGATTATCATTATCATCAAATATTCGCCGCACAATAGTCAACGCAGGAGAAAGTGATTTAAAACCTAAAACATAAAATTATTTTAACATGACATTATAAATATTTTTAAATGTAAATAAATAACGTAACTAAGAAAAAAAAATCAACTTATATGTTAAGTTAATTACTATAACTTTTTAAAATAGTGTAATATAATTTGTAAAATTATTTATACATGCAATTTTCCTGGTAAATATAATGCACATAAATTTATATTTACCTCCAACAGGAAGACGTGGTGCTCCAGTAACAAATCTCAAAAAGTCTCTTTGTTGTTGATAATCATACTCAGACAATATTTTAAAAAGAAACCCAATAGCTCTAGAATTTCCTGTATATCCGTGATCCAAACGACATGACTCAGATAACATACGTACATCCCAATTCTTAGTTGTATTTGTATGCCCACAAAATATTGCTTCCAACTCTTCAGGATAAAATAGTTGACCAAGGCGTTTAAGAGAGAAAACACTTTCAAATCCTTCTCGAAGGCTTTCCATTTGCTTGGAAACACCTTCCCGTAAAAACCAATGACAAACCAGCTAAACAATAAAATCAAGCATTGAAACCAAAAATAGAATAAACAGTAAACTTTTTTCAATTACCTGTATATACTTTTCCAAATTGTCTATTGTGACATCTATATTTGCACCGTTCTTACGTAATTCAATTGAGGCATGTCCAGGCAATGTAAAATTAAGTCCCAAATCTTCTATTGGGCAACCATCTAAAGTAATTTTTCTAATCTAATATTAAAAAAAAAATTTAATGAGTATTAAAATTAATATTTATTTATTTTTCATTTAGCTATTTACTCTTTAGTGTAAAAATACCTTTTCAGTTTTTTGTTCATCATTTAGTGTATTATCAATAAGGATTAGTCTTTTTTCGAGTACTAACTGATGAAGTTGTGATAAAGTTTTATATACTTCAGGAACTATATATGAAAGATCGCCAAGTGCAAGATAATTTTCATGGCCTAATAGCCAACGATACATGGTAATACTTAATGGTAAATCCAGCTAAAATATATCATTAATTAATGAATGATAAAGCTCAATTTAATATTTTATATCTTACTAATCTCGAATCCATAATAGCCTTGGCCATAAACTTTCCTAAAAATTTAAATTTTGATTTAATTTTAACTTGATGTGGAAGTTTACTAGTTCGAGATAATGGATTAGGATAAAGTCCTTCTGATGTCTGAACATAAGCGTCAGATTCAGATCTTGAAGGATTGTTCCACAGTTCTAAATCAGCTTTTTGTAACTCTTTTGAGACTAATGCGTAAAACTCTAAAGTTGGTCCTAAACCTGTTCCCACCTAAAAATATTTAATTAAATAATAATTGAATTTGGACAGTTTTAAGTTAAAATTACTTCATCTTCATATTGTATTTCTAGTAAGGCCCGTGAAGTGGCATTTTCAGATATCACAGCTTCAGCTTGAGAAAGTATATTAGATCTAGTTACTGAACGTTTACGTCTATCTAGACGTGGTGCAACACGATCATGCATATCACCATTAGTATTATTTCCAGCACCTTGAAGTTCAGAACTAGAGTCAAGTAAACGTTGTAATGCACGATCTCGGTCAAATACAGTTGCATAGAATAATAATTGTCGTGTTTCAAATGGTAATAAAAATGCGCTAAAAAAAATTATAATACATTTGAAGTTTAAAAACATTAAAAACATTTTTTTTTATTTTTTTATTAACTTACCATGCTGATGCAACTTGTTGAAGCCAAGCAGGTAAGTTTCCAGTCATTATAACTAATGGGTCTTGAAGTTGCCTGTTTGCTTTTGCAGATATTTTAACATTGATAAATTCCTAAAATAAATGAATAGTTATTAATTACATATACGTAAAAATATAATATTTTATATTAATTGTTAACTTACATTAAATGGTATTAAAGAATTATTATGAAGCTGTGTAGGATATAACGAAGTCCAATATCTATTAATGGCATTTAAAACTCTTAAAAGACTGAGTACCGGCAATGAAGGATCTTGAATTTGAACATACTCAGGCAATGACAATTGAAGATATGGTTCAAGAGACGATTTTACAGGAGAAACTTTTCCTTCTACATAAACCAAAATGTAATTAACATAATTCATTTGAAGTTTTAGTTATAATAAAAATATTTGCTTATGCCAATTTGGTTTAAAATAATTACAAATATATATAACTTACCTAACCATAGTTCATCTTTCACTTTTTTAGAGGCACTTTTGTGAGTTCCGGATCTACTTTTTTTACCTGAACTGCTAGTAGTAGGTTTAGGTGAATGTACTTCTGTGTCTTCAGGTAAAGGCCTTAAAAATGTTTTAATGCATAAATTAGTGATACAAATAAATGGCAGCTGCACACTTTCAAACTTATATATACCAAAATCATAGGGCTCTTAGTATAATATTCCATGGATGGAGATTAAATTTAAATTGAATAAATAACAAAAGGAGTTAAGTGAAAATGTTACAATATACAAATATTATAGTAAAAAAATACAATAAAAAATATATTCAAATAACATTTCATAAACATTAATAAAGAATAGAAACTGTTAAAAATTTCTTTAGGAGTAAGATACCAAGTAATATAAGAAGTAAGAAAATCCAAGCAAAATAAATTATCTATGAAAAGAATAATCTCTTTATAACAAAGATGATCATTTTGGATACTAAAAAAAAAAAAAAGCTCTTATTATAACTTTGACATGGAGTAGAAAGGGAAGAATAAAAAAAAAGATTTAGTACATAAAAAAGCAAGTGATGGGAGACAACAGATTCAATACATATGCAGACCTATAACGACATGGAAAAATAGAGAGAAACATCCATCATTTAAATAAATATGTTCATAACAAACTTTATAATTTAAAACTAACAGCATATTGAGATGAAAGCTAAGAAAATATCCATAGATTTGATTTGAATTTAAAAAATTCTTTTATTTAAATTTAAGATTTTAAATTGTTAATAAATTTAATAATAAAAACTTTAAAAAAATAATAAATAATAATTAATTTTTGATAGGCAGACTTTTCTATATTTTTTTTCTAAAATAAAATGTATTCTCTCTTATTTTTATTGTGTATTTTGATTACTTGTAATGTATATAATCTATATATATATAAATATTATAAAAAAGGACATATTTTAAAGAATTTTTAATTTGTAAATCATAGTACTAAATCTGTGTAAATAAGAAGATAACTGTATAATTGTGTGGACTCAATTAGTATATGACTTGAAAAACTATAAGATCCAAAAAGTTAACACAGCGCTAAAGAACCAAATCTCAAATTATCTAGAAAAGTGGTCTTCAACCGGTGTCGTGACCCATTTTTGGGTCGCGACAAGTCTTTTTTTTAAATAAAAATTAGATTTATAAAATTATATAAGGTAAAAAAATAATAATATCATTATATTATAATCATAACGGATATAAAGTATAATGCTTCATATAACACTGGTATGATTTTACATAAGCAATTTTTTTCTTATTTATTAGGCTAACGGGGTCGCGAAAAATAAAGGCCTAATAGAGTGAGTCGCAGGTCCTAAAAGGTTGAAGACCACTGATCTAGAAGAAACTACGTTAATTTTGAAGTAATTTTTTTCAAAACTAATATGACATAAAATTATAAATTATCATTGTAACACCAGATATTTTTAAACGGATAAAGAGATTTGAACTTAACATTCTAAAACACCTTATCACAATAATTTGTATAAAAGTTAGGTTTGATAAATTATAATAATCTATTGCTTGAAGCATTATTATTTCTTACCTGTAATAAATCGTATGTGTTTGTACCCATATTCCAGCTGAACCCAATGGTAGTTCAGATTCGTTATCAGTCTCCATATCACTTGTAGTAGAAAACTGACGAACAGCTTGATATACAGTCATATTATAAGGAAGTATATGATTGCCTATAAGAAATTGTAATTTATGTCTTGCTGATCCTTGTCCAATCACAACTGCTGCCTGTAAATAAAATTTTGAAGTTAAAAACTCAAACTTTTATGAAATATACAAATGCATTAAACATTTACCTAATATAACAACTGTAATAAGTTTAAAAATTTTTAAGTAGAATTAAGTATTAATACATTAAATATGTATCATAATTATAATACCATTTTATATTTTTAAAAACTGGGGTTTCAATGAAATCAAATATATTTTTTATAAAT